AGATAAAGAAGAGGATATGTTGCCCCAGCCGGAAAGGGGGATGAGATGTGTGATATTTGAAATCACTGAAAAATTGCATCTTTTATTGCGCCCTCTCTGAGAGTGAAGGTGGGGCTGTGATGTCTCTATATAAAGAAACTCAGTCTGGGTCTTTGTTAAGGTCAGACGATGCTGGGATTCTCAGAAGCTCACAGTCAGAAGCCAACAGCTTCAAACGGAGTGTTGCCTTTCAGCGCAGTGGCTAATATCAGCCTGCTAAAGCTATTCACTCCCCTACTGAGACATAGAGGACATACTGTAGACAGACAGAGACAAAGATAGATTTAAGTGTAAAATTATCAATAAATTGTTGTTTCATTTGGTTCTTTAGCTGAATTCATTTACAACTACCACTGTTAGCTATACTGTGTAACTCTTTTAGTTTATTCTTAGCTAAAAACACTTAGTTCTTTCAAAAATATATGTGCTCATTAATGTATATTTACTTCGTTCAAGTAATAAAGTATTGAGTGTATAATATGCCATTGAAAATACATACGGGTAAGGGGTTCTAATGTCGGTCGCCATGTTGCCCCTCCATCTTGAAAGTACATTAACCAAAGAGGGACATACCCGTTAATTCAAGCTTCGCCTTTCGCATTTACGTTTGAGTTAACAATCAAGGACGAGGTCAAACTGAAAGCCATGTTAATCTTGGACTACATTGGCCACCGTAGGAGTTAAAACGAAATCGGAATTGAGAGGAACAGAAACTAATATTCACTGATGGTTATATACCTTTTCACTGCTAGATGGGGGTAAAAATCACACAGTGTAGCTTTAAATGACTAAACTAAAGAACTAAAAACAAATACAAACAGATCAAAGCTACTGTAAATATATATATATATATATATATATATATATATATATATATATATATATATATATATATATATATATATATAAAGAGTTCAGATGCAAAAGCCTGTAAGTGCCATTTGAAATTTTCTTCTAGAATGATCATTTTTGTCAAGCTTGTATATTTAAGTTCAGTGATTTCACTTAAATGGCAATTATGATTACCTATTAATTGTTATTTAAGTGAAATTACTGAACTCATCGTTATCATCATTAAAGAAGAAAATTTCAAATGGCATTTAGAGGCTTTTGCATCTGAATTCTTCATATATACATAAAAATATAATAAAAAAACAAATGACAAAAGGAAAAGAAAAAGAAAATGTAGAACAACAATTATTTCAAAATATTATTTAATACTATAATAGTATTCAACTAAATCAACTGCCACTGCAGCTCACAGATCTAATTTGCGTCCTTAAACAATGACAGATGTTACAATTTTAACTAAATTAAGACTTAGACTTCACTTTCCTCATACACAGCTATCCTGTGGGTTTAGTCATACAAACTACTTTTATGGCATTTTCATTTCACCAATTTGTAATTTTTAGAGTTTAAATGCCCAGTTCCCATTGCCTTTCAATGTATGAAAAAGAGCTGGATTAACATTCCACCTAATATCTATTATTGTGCTCCATGTGAGAAATGAACAACATGAAATGACAAGAATAACATATTTATTTTTTATTTTTAAGTGTTTCTCTGATATTTTAAACAACATCAAGCCTGACATGAGCCTAACAAAGCCCATGTGACAGATTTTATCTCCTAAAGCATAACCTTTTAATCTACACAAGGTTGAAAATGAGACGCAAACATTGACTTGCTGCTCTACCTATCCGGCTGCTAACACAATGACAACTTAATAAGTCTAGTAGGATTTGCCGTCATCATTCACATTCTACAATTATTTGTGGACCAGCCTCAATCGTTCAGACCTGAGAAATCGATCAACTATATGTGACGTCCAGTCCCGCAGGGAGGCCTCTGGAATCAACAGGAATCCTAGGTCAATATTTCACACCGATTCGCCACCAAGCCCAAAGCAACAGTCGGTCATGACAAAAGACATTGAGTACAACACACACGACCAGCAAATGCCCTTGTTTACCTAGAGGACAGGGGATCACAACACAAGGATGCTCTCAGGGGGTAAAGGTTCTTCATAAAATACATACACTTGTGCCATTATATTCCACAGTACCATTTCCATACCTAAAAATCATTAACATCTGCAAACAATAGCCATATTCTCAGTGACAGCTAAAGACTATTCATTTTATTTAGTGTTTGACGGCTTTTTGTGTTTGTTCTAGGCCTCCAGAAAGTCAATATGCACTCGAAACACCATCAGATCAGCAATCAGCCCTGTAACACATTCAACACTTCAGAGAGGAGAGAGAGAGAGAGAGAGAGAGAGAGAGAGAGACACTCATTTGCACCTCTGACTTACATATTAAATAGTGTTGAAGGAATGTGAAAATACAATGACTATAAATAGATCTCATACGTACACACATTGAATGTATGCATTAAGCATCGGCTGTACTAAATATTATGCACACCCCATGCTGGGTGGATCATATAGCCCTAATTTCAACAAGGAATAATGAACTTTGCTATGCAAATTTCAGTAATGAGTTCTAACATAACACACACACACAGTCTGTCAGGACATGACTATGGTGAGAGAAATGATGTTAGACATTTTGCAGATACAAAACTGTCATGATTCTTCCCTCTTGTCATTATCTTTCTCTAGTCTTGAGGCAGGATCATGACAGACCCATGTTTTGTGTGCAGGCACATGGCCTTGTGTTTGGGCTGTGCATGTGCTTGTGTTGTCAAAATGTGTTATTCAAAATATCTTCCTTTGTGTTCAGCAGAACAAAGAAATGTATACAGGTTTGGAATGACATGAGGGTGACGAAATGATAACAGACTTTTCATTTTTGGGTGAACTATCCCTTTAATGCATCTTTAACTGGCCTTTTTTCATTTATACGAAGTGAATATACGAAGACATCCTTTTTGTTAATTCTTTTAATAAAACATTTGATCTGTTTTATAATTAAAAACAACTTCAAAAGTTTGCTGTCTGCCTTTAAAATTAATGTTTTTCAGGACTCTTGTCTATAAAATAATGTTTGGGGCTACTGTAACACACCTTCCCACTTTAATTTTCTCAGTGCATCTTTTTGCTCCATGCAAACAGGACTGTGAACACGGAGGGATTCCTCTTCCCAAGTGATTCCATAATAAAAAGACCTGATGACATAACTCATCCAGTGACGCATGTAACAGATGCCTGAATCTGCAGCTACGTCAACTGTTACCAGGAGAAGCCCGGCCAACATCACTTATGTAGGTCGCATTAAAAACACATGCGGCGCCGCACACAGATGCCAATTTTCAAAGACGGCCCCCTTTAAAAGCAGACTGGAATCTACTTCAGCAGGCTCTTATCATACGCTGGATCTTTCATGTTAACTGACGGAGCTAGTTATGAAAGAAGCACACAAAGTTTCTTCTGTGACCTAAAACAAAGGCCAACTAAAGAAAAGATTTTGTACAACAAATACTCAACTTTTTTTGTGTTTTTTGATCTGCTATGCTTAATATCCCATGATTCCATGTTAGAGCACACAGTTATGAGCAGAATATGTAAATGAAAGGGGATCTGCACACTGCTTGTAGGCAGAGTTAATAAAATGATGCAAATTGCATTATAATTAACTCTAAAAAGTGGAGCATTATGCTTTTATGTAAACTGTACCTCAGGGATCTCACATAACAATGCACTTAGCTACAAGTACTTTAGATGGCATCTTAAATTGTAGTGTGTATAGGTGTTTAGTGGGGTCTAAAAGTCTGAGAACTCAATTGAAAATGCTTCTGTTTAGCATTTTTCTATTTTAATAGATTTTTAGTGCAAAAATTTGAGTGAAATATTAACATGAATTTCATAATTCATTTTGCTTTAAAGACAAGTTACATTTTGAACAAAGCCTTTCACATGGTATGTGTCAAAGATTTCCGTACACTACCGTTCAAAGGTTTGGTGTCCACAAGATTTTATTTTATTTTTGAAAGAAATTAATACTTAAAGGAGTAGTTCACTTTTAAAAAAACTTTTGCTGATAATTTACTCACCCCCATGTCATCCAAGATTTCCACGTCTTTCTTTCTTCAGTTGAAAAGAAATTAAGGTTTTTGATGAAATTATGATGTACTGATAACCAAACGGCGAACAAATGAACGAATCTTTTCCCGAGTCAATTTGTTCATTTCGTTCTTTGACGCGCATGATAGAACAGAGCAAGGCGAGCATTTGAGCTTATAAAACTTTCGTTTATAAAACAAACGTTTCGCTTGATAAGACCCTTATTCATCGTCTGGAATCGTTTAAAGCCCTTTGAACAGTTTGCACTGAAACTGTCTTTTGGACCTTGAACCGTTTGGTTCCCATTGAAGTCCATTATATGGAGAAAAATCCTGGAATGTTTTCATCAAAAACCTTCATTTCTTTTCGACTGAAGAAAGAATGACATGGACATCTTGGATGAAACGGGGGTGAGTAAATTATCAGCAAAAGTTATTTTAAAAGTGAACTACTCCTTTAAGACCTACTAAAGTGACTGTAAAACATTCATAATGTTACAATATACAAAAAATAAATGCTGTTCTTTTGAACTTTCTATTCATCAAACAATTACACGAAAATGGTATTCACAAAAAAAAAATATTCACAGTTTTAAAATATATTAAGCAGCACAACTCTTTTCAACATTTGTAGTAATAAGAAATGTTTATTTAGCCCCAAATCAGCATTTTAGAATGATTTCTGAAGGATCACGTGACACTGAAGAGTGGAGTAATGATGCTGAAAATTCTATTATATTTTAAGATTTATTAAAATAGAAAACAGTTATTTTTAATCATAATATTTCACAATATTACTACTGTATTTTTGCAGCCTCTGTGTGCTTTTTTCAAAAACATTAACACATATTTTTAATGCGGTTTCAGATTTTCAGGCCCCACTGGACATATCTACATTTATAGTGTTGCATAGTGTTTGTGTTTCAGCGACTCACGGAAGGCGGGTCGGCAGGGGTCACTCCGTGTGCTGTCGGTCGAGTGGTTACTGGACACGGAGGAGACACTAGAGCTCCGAACAAACCCAAAGGCAGCCAGACGAGCCGGCGGGAGCCGCGAGTACCCAGGAGGACGGAGGCCAGTCTGAGCTGGCTTCGGCAGGAAGGATTTAGCAGCTAACCCAGTCGCCACCGTCTTTCTCTGATCTGAGGGTGAATAAGACTATGATTAGTACTCAAATTCACTGAAAAAGAGAGTTATAGAAATAAAAAAACACCACATATTGCTTTTTACAGTCCACGGAGGTCAACTTTGCACAAAATATTCTTATAATGATGTGACAAAACAAGGCATAGAAATGTTTTCTGTTGATCCATCATCACATGACTGTCGCAACTGAGAAACTCAAAGAAATTCAGAAAACACAAGAAAAAATGTTGTGTGAGAATGTTGAGTGTTGTGTCCTAAAATGAACTATTTCTAGGCAGACTGGCTTTAAAGATACTCATGGTAGGATAGAGAGAGAGAGAGACTGTGGTGTTTTATAGCCTCTCTCTGTTGAGAGGTAAAAATCGCTTTAAAAAAACTCCTGGAAGAATCATAAAGAGGTTGGCGGCTGTCTGCCTCCTCTGCCCACAGCATGACTGGGCATTCATCAACATACATACTGTATCACTGTAATATTCACATGGAGAAGGGCGATGAGTCACATGTCATAAAGCCCCTATATGAGCTCAAAAAGCTTTAATATGAATGATTAAGAATTTCACTAATCTATTAATTATGTGCAATAAAAGTGTATGGATGGTTTCTGGATGTACTTGCAATTGTGTGGTTCTGATTGGACAGCGTCTGGTGCCTAACAGGAGTTTGCAGGTCTCCAGCAGAAGACCTTCTTTTTTAATTAGTCCAAGAGGCCAGTTGTTAAAGAGGCCATCAATTCCTCTAAAAGCAGTTGTGTACACATGATTGTGGTATCAGTGCTTTTTCAGTATATCAGTATTTTCTTAACCCTATTTGCTTATTTTTACACCAGTAAAGATGATAAAATCTGTTTACATGCAATTAATAAGGATCATTATCTTTTTTCCCCGCTCTCAGCTCTTTGTACTGTAGGTATTCACATCCAACGCGTACGAATCTCACGACCAATTCGTACGAATTCGAACGAGTGATTAAAATGTGGCTAATTCGTACTAATTCATACGACCTCACTCGTACGAATTCGTACATTTGTCTAAACCCACATGATGGGTAGGTTTAGGGGCGGGGTCAGGGGTGGGCCAATTCGTAAAATGTGTACAATTTTGCAAAAATTATACTAATTCGTGCGAGTGAGGTCGTACGAATTTTTACGAATTAGCCACCTCGTAAAATTCGTACGAATTCCCGTGAGATCGGGTAGTCATTTCAGATACCTCTTATTGCTGGGACCATGGGCACTGTCCTGCTGTCAAATAAAAAAATATGATTTTAGGAAGCACAAGAAGAAGAGAGAAATCGCATAAAAATATGCACATGCAAAGAGCTACTGCGGGGTGAATTTTGGGACCCACTTCCAAGCTAGCTTTGAACTGGCAGTCTCCTCCCACCTAAGGTCATTATTTGGGGCAGGTGGAGAGAATGATCCCCTCCTGCTCTTGGAGATAAAGCACCTCGAGTTCCCTGTTCCCAATACGCTGTGATTGGAGCAAACCGTAGCGCATACTAAATGACAATCTAGCGTTTCTCATTTTGTCTGTCGCATTCTCAGACGTTTATTAGACTGCAGTGTCAGCAGTATGCTTCAAAGACGCATTCTTCACAAATGAAAACACATGCACACATACACACTCAAGCAAATGCACACAACAAAGCACCCCCTCATCCATTCATCTCTAATCAAAGTTTCCCTGGCTCAACCGCTTCCCCCAGCGCCCCCTCCCACCCCAACCCCGGGCCATCAAGGTCTTTAATGAAATTGCAGGCAGCTTCTGCTTCAACTGAGGGTTGTGGTCATTAAAGATAAATGTGTTCCTGTTCTCTCTCTCCGTGATTTTTATTCACCATCAATCGTCTTTATTCCTTCCTGTTCCTACTTCCCGATATTTCCGGATTGCCCAGATCATTAGTCATCCATCATAGCTTTGATTTTGCATTTTCTATGTTTATTTTGTTTTTCCACGCAAAGAAAGTGAATGGTGACCACAGCTGTTCCCATTCATTTTTACTATATGGAAAAGGAAGCTTGGAAATTCTGCCAACGAGACATTTTTGGGAGAACTGCCCCTTTAACACCACAGTGGAGTCATTTTCTCAAAGTGTTATGAATAAATAAAAAGGAAAAGGAATGTGTGTGTGCGCATGCGTGTGTGTGTTTGTATGCAAATTTATAATTATGGATTGATGTTCAAGAACTGATTGATTTCTTACTGAGAGTTAAAATGCATGAATACATTACTAGAGCTCTTTTAACAAGCCATCAGTGGTTCAGTGATAAACACTTAACTGTATTGTTAAGGATTGAATAACGCTGAGGCTATGTTTACACTGAAACGATTCTGAAGAGAAAACGCAAAAGTGGCGTTGCGCCATCACTTTTTATTCTGCGTCTGTTTAGACGAGCGTTTTGTGTTGGAAATCCGCATGCAAATGGTGACGCAAAAGTGTGTGAAATTCAATGTAGTATGCACTGTATGCGGCTAGGAGTGCATACTACAACAACACCAAGTCCACGCACCTGTGTACAACCTTCACTTTCAAGCAGACTTTTGCGTTTTTACCATTTACACGGAAACACGGCTGTGGAGCGTTTTTAAGATTTCCACTCTGGAGGGTGGTTTCACTTTTTTGCGTTTTTAAGCCCCCAAAACGCCGTCGCCGTGTAAACGAAAGGCACATCTGATAAAATATTTTTACGTTTTCACCCACAAGTGTTCTCGTGTAAACAGGGCCTTAGTGAACAGGAAGAACATATATACACAATGGTGATAATTAAACAGAGCTGAACCAAATTATATAACTAATAATGATGTGTGACAATGGAGACGGAAGATAGGCGGGAACTCAACCAAGGGAATGCAATGTGACAAAACAGAAACAGAAACTGAACGTCTTTGAAAACAAACTAACTGAACATAACTGTGACATATGTCATGTTAATGAAAACACAAAAAATACATTGCACAATGCCAAAAGAAGGTACTCTGCTCTTTGCCATAGACAGCTATTTAGTAATTACAATCTAAGGACGTAACAAAACCTAATAAGCAATCAGAGATTCTTTTCTACTTCAGTGCATTAGACAATTTCCAGGAAGATTTTAATCAAAGACCAATTTTTGTCGACCAAGCCTAGTGACCAGAATCAATTGTTTGAGAGTGTGAAAAATTATGTGACGTGAGATGATCTATAACTCCAGTGGGAAATAATTACCAACTTCAGAGCAATCAGACAAGCATTTTCAAGTCATACCAGAAGAGTGTAATACAAACTGTTAGATAGCAGTTTTTCTATAATAATAGTATTAATCTTTAGGAGAACCTTTCTCTTGACAACTTTTATACCATTTTAGGGGTCAAACTGTCAGAGTAAAACACTGTAGCAAAAGCCTGTGTCTTTATTGTAGCATCCTTACACCATAAAAATCATACAATGTTTCAAATACATCTATAAATTGTGACCAGACGTAGTTACAAATATTGGCATGCCTTAATTGTTTATTGCTTTGCACTTCAAAGCATTACAAACAGGGCCAAGCAGCAAGAAATCGGCATCCGCATTAATGGAGACTGTCATGGGTTTGCTGTGAGATAACGGTATAAGCAGACAGATGCCCTCTAGAAAAAAACACGCTGGATGATGGCAGTGCTGGTAGTGGTTTAAAGATGAAATAATTCATATCTTCACCTTGGCAGGCAAAGTTTTCGGAAATGAAGTGTGCTTTAGAAACGGTAAGGAACTTTTAAGCTCAGACAGAACTCCCTCATGGCACAGATGAATGTGAATTTTATTTATATTTAACTGTATGCCAGAAGGTAAAGTGTATTTTACACTGACTAGTGGCTGGGATGAGTTTATCTGTAACAATTACAAATGCATAGCTGACAGGATTGAGAAGACTTATGGTGTTATCTTCCTTCTTTCTATTTAAATCTATTCATCTCAAAACACTCCAGAGTCACTTCCACCCTTAGCATGAAGCCTTGGTGTTTCTATCAGTCAAAAACCAGTGTCTTATGAAAAGCATTCAATTTTACTACTAAAAATCTGTGTGAATTGTATAAAAGCCAAGTCTTTTGACTAATTTTGCCTTGCAAAGTAAACCATTGTCACCGTCTTACCTTGTGGTTCCTGAGGGGTTTGAGTGGTCGGGTTTACTGCCTGCATTGGTTGACTGAAGGTCAATGGTGACTTCGGGTGGCCTGTTTGGACCATCCTGTTCTTCGCAGCTGCAGAGGGAGTCCTGTTTACAGCACCAACGCCAAGCTGGGGTCTTAGGCCCCGTGGTGGACGAAAAAGGGGGCCGGAAGGATCCTCAGCTCCTGATACAGGAGATCCAAGGGTGACTGGAGACCTGCCCACCTAAACAAAAAACATTACATTACCACACGTTGCAGCTGCAGTCAATGAACTCTTCTAGTAGTACGTATACTCATCTACTGGAAGAGAACAAGTGTTACATTTTAAATACTTAAATGCTGGTTAAATAGTTAAAGAACAGCATATTGTTAAATGTCTTGTGCATTCCTTACAGCTGCAGAGAGAGGCTTGTTAAGAGAACCATAGAAGCTGTCTGCTCGGCCTGCCATTTTTTGGGGCAGGGTGTTGCTGGGTGGCTTAATCCCAGACACCATGAGTCCAGGAGAGAAGAACCGAACCTTCTGCATCTCTTGTCGATACTTATCGTAGAGTAAATTTGAGGCACTCAGCACAGCGGCTTCCCCTTGTTCTCCTACCGCTGGTTTGGCCTGTGTGTTGCTGTACGTTGAGAGTTTCGTAGGTAAGGATGACACCTCGTAAGTTCCCTCGAGAGACTGTGGTTTCACCTGCGGGGTCTTTCGAATGTACGTGATGATTTTTGGTCGGACACTTTTCGGTTTTGGCGGGCACTTGCTTGGAGGGGAGGTCTCCATTGAAGCCTCCGTTGTTGGAAGAGGGTTGTGGATGCTTGTGTTGATAGTTGTTTTGACTGGAGCTCTTAAGCCTGAGCTGTACATAGCATAACCCAACTGAGGAGCTCGAGAAGGTAAAGTCTTGATGGGTGAGGATGGAGGCTGTCTTTGAGGAGACCTTGTGGTCTTGGGGGACAGAGGTGTCGAAGGTCTAGTGGGACTGCTGTAGGTCCGCCGACTGAAGTGAGTCTTCCTTTCTAGGCTGGAGGGACTTACAACACGATCTGCTGAGCTCTGCCTCTTCAAGTGTTGGGACTCTCGGGTGAAAGTCTGGTTTGGAAGCATCTCTGTGCTTGTTTTCTTACTGCAGACTTCTGTAGTCGGCAGCACTTGTTGATGGCTGTGATCTGTCTCTGAGGAGTGGTATTGTTGCTGGTCTGCCTGGGTGTCTAAGCTGGGATATCCTGAGGTTATACGTTTTTCAGTAGAAAGAGGGCGGACTAGCTGCCTACAAGAAGGTAGCACCCTCACCATACCTTTCGGCGCCTCGGTTGACATCCCTTGCCTGCCATTCTGCTCTGCTTCCATTGGGAATTTTTGCACTTTTAGTGCTCCATTTGAAGGATACACTCCACTTTGAGTGATCAGCTTACTTCGGTCATATTGTGATTCCTGAGGCAGTGTAGTAGAGTTATGGTTTTGGTCCAAATCCCTGGGAAGCTCCCTGTTTCTCTCTGAGTGGATGTAGGAGGGTTGCTGGTTCCTGCCTATGCCTGAGGTAGACTTGATGGACTGGGAAGAGAGAGGCTGTGTGCGGCCTGCACTGTCCAGGGCACTGGCTAAACTTCCACTGAGATTGGTCACTGCAGAAAGGGAAGATGAAAAAACGTTGCTTTCAGAACCACTTCGGGCTTCTCTCAGGGTCCTGTTTACCCCAGAGCGAGAGCTAGAGGTCCTGAGGTCAAGGGGCTGTGAGTTCTCATTTGCATCTCCATCCACACTGTGGTTTTTATTGTGGTCTTTCCAAGGGGATCCAACAGTAGCGCTGACAGATGTGGTTGTCAATGTCCTGTCACAGAGTTTCTTTGCTCTCTTTCTGCTTGTCACACTTGACATGTCTATCCCTTCTTCTTCCACAATGAAAGTTTCTAACTCTTGACACTCAAGCAGTTCAAACTCTTCCAGCTCAGGGTCTTCACTCTGAGCATGTGTTCCCCAGATAATGATCCTCTCCTGGGCTTCAGAGTGTGATACAAGAGGGGGTAGTGGGCTGCCATGCTCTCTGTTATTTGAATGATTTTTCTCTTTGGTGATTTGATTGGCATTGGCGTCTTCCACAGTTTCTTCGTGCCCGTCGTCATTCTGTATTTCTCCTAGTTGGTTGTCTTCACCGGCTTGTATATTTTCTTCATTCATGTTGTATCAGTCTGAGCTTCTCTCTCAAAAGCTCCACGGTAATCCTGGATCCATCAAAGGTCTTGTTCCCTCACTTGCCTTCACCTTGTCGTTAAAAAAATTTGCAATTTGGATGGAGTGCAGTATCACAACATCATTTCACATTATTTTCATTTCTACTCCAAGATACCACCAAAGGAGAGAGCTGTATTTGTTTGCTTCTCAACAGGGCAATGCACTTGATGAAATCATATCAGCTTTCAGGATCTTGAAATGCCTTGGTCATTCATTTGGTGCCAAACCTGCAAAGAAGAAAAGACATAAATTTGTGTTAACAGTGCAGAGAAAGCATCAGAACAAACTATTCCAATACGCCTAATTCACAGCAGCGCCATCTTTGATTTTTAGTGAGAATGAAAGCGAGGCTGTGAGGGATAGACATGCATCTCTTCAATGGGCTGTACTGTTATTTAATGTGTAGGGTTTAAATTCTTTAAATTTGAAGTCTATTTTTGGTTAGATTTACTGACACTAAAATCTCAAGCAACACTTCATTCTTATTTTATTAAAGGTTAGTTTTCCTGATGACCAATTCTAAAGCAAAAAAATCATTCTAATTTATTGAAGGAAAGAATGGCAGTTTGTGGTTTCATTGCAGTTTTCAATGAATATAAAACAGCTTAAAGGCGCCCACCACTTCTGTAAGCAAAGTAAAGTAAAAAGGTGTACATTTACATTTAAACCTTTTATCCATAAAGCAATGCATAAAATGTGAAGTATTTGACTCAAGCATGAAAAATTAAACTAGCTACAAATTCTTGCGACAACAAAACGATTATTCTATGTGTGGCATAATTTTAAGAAGTTTTGCACACACCTTTAATGGCAGATGGCAGTACCTCTTTTCTCTAGTAATAAAGTTTTTTTTAAATCTCTACTGCAGAGAATTATGTATGCCCAAATCATACAAAAAAAGACAATTAGTGAGAGTGTGAAATGGCTTGTAATTAACAACAGTGCTCACATGGGACAAAAACAAACAAACAAACCAAAATACTGCAGTCAGCTGGGGTAGAAATGATGAAAATACACCATTAGTTGAAGATGAGTTTTTTTTTTTGCATCTGTATAAAACATTGACATAACAGCTGTATGCCTATAATTATGATTTAGACATGAAAACATGAAAATCCACTGCTGTTTCTTTACGTATATAGTCCAAACCAGAGAAGGGAATAAAGCAAGGTCAGTTTGACATTTTCCCAATAGGGAAAAGGGGGTTGGGGTTGCTCCATGTGCTGCTGACTAGGTAAAGAGGGTGGGTATGTGGTCAGTGACTTCGGTAGGCTATAATCAATCACAAAATAGATTTTTAAGAAGAGAAAGGTTGCTTCTCTTTTTACACCAGACTCGCTTCAAGCATTGACTGTAATGATTTTCGCTGCACAGACTTGAGTAATTTATGCTGGAATGACAGGAAGAATCGACCACTAAATCACTTCAAGCATCAAGTGTAAGATGCAAATGCTTGTGCAGGAAATCAGAGAGGAGGTATATGGAGAAGAGTCAGCCCATACAATCCATATCACAGTCGGTTAAATGGGCAACAATCTGAGAAAGCATATTGACGTTGCGGCACCAGACTGCCACTTGTTCCACCCCCAACACTGCAGACTGATGAAGTGCTAAAATCGCCCACCCACAAACCCACAGGCAAATTAAGACTGATTTCAACACTGCATAATTGCACAGAGATATGTGACTCGTACTGGCAAAAGTCGTAATGAGCAAATTTTAGTTAAAATTTGTTAATTACTGAGCTACACCTGTTTGAAGTCGGCAGAGTCAGCAAAGTCAATTTTGAGAATGCACCACCCTCCACCGATCTACCAATCACAGAGTCAGTAGTGTTGCGGCATCCGGGTTGCCAGCTAGCTACCACAGCTGCAGCTACAAACGTGTCGGATAAAAAAATGTCTAACGATACGAATCCAAAAAAACCTGTTATGATTACGAAATACTTTGTGACAAAGTCCGAAATAAAACAAGGATTTGAATAGGAGATGCCTTTGAAAGATGGAGATGGCTGAAAACAGAGAAGATTTTGCTGGATCCTGCAGCCTATCTGGCAACCTTGATTTTTTTTTGGGGGGGGATACACTGCTCTACAGTAATTTAAAAGTGATTGCAGTACCAGTTTTGGCCACAATCTTACATACGGTTAAATACAACTAAAACTATTATAATCATTTTCTGTAATGGATAAAAAGCTAAAATAAAATAGAAATATATGATGAAAATTTTCATTTTTTAAGTTGAAGTTTAGTAAAATAAAAACACAAATAAAAAGACAAAAACTATTTTTTTTTTAAATCGATAAAAACATAATACTATAACTAACTGAAACAAACACAGAAATAAATGAATAGATAAATGTGAAAATAAAATAATAAATAGAAGTATTACACACACATCGAAAATAAACATAAAAAAATATTTTTAAATATAAAAAATTTTTTTGAAAATAAATGCATAAAAAATAAATACAGTATTTAATAAATAAGAATAAATATAAATATTTATACCTAAATCTATATTATACATTTGTCTCACCAAATATAAATTCATGAATATCTTTTTTATGTCTCAGCGAATATTCTATTCATTCATTTAATTCTCAACTAACACACTCAGTCCTCGATAGCACACTGGCACTAAAGTATTTATTTATTTATTTATTTAGTTGAGAAAAAAAATGAATGCACCGTGAGGAAAAACATCCTCTTTGCTGTGTTCGACTCGATGTGCTCTGCACCAAAAAGCTCTATGAGGCTCCTCAGAGCAGCCAGACGAGGCAGGAACAGATGCCTGAGTCAGGGTGAGTGTGCCAGCCAATCTTGAAAAGAGGGTTTATCAAGTGTGTAACTGGGGCATGGCAGAGTGTGACTGGACGTGGCACCAGCTCTCCCGTCCAACATTTAACTCCAAATAATAACAGGAAATGAATAGTCAGCACCCTTAATTTACTCAATAGAGACAATGAGCTCAAGTATGGGCTTAATTAAATCGAAAACACAACTGGTTTGGGAAACATTGATGGTTTGCATGAATCATCACCATATTTTTGCTGTCGCATGGCCATTGCGGGGGCGATTGGGGACCGGCCCTGAGGAAGGGAAGAGAGCGGCAGATCAGAGCACAGGCTTAATTCAGCGAGACTAATGGTACTTAGCCCTTCTCTTCCTGTCATGGATTGAGGATGTGTGTGTCAATCAAGGTGCAGAGCAAAATCAAAGGCCATGGAGATAAAATAAGAAGGATGTGAAAGAAGAGGCCTGACCAATGAATATGAGAAGTGAGGGTATATGTAAAACGTGTGGACATTCACCATGGTAACTTCCTAGTGAATAATGTAAAAGTTGGAGGGGAGAATTAAATATTTCAGCACAACAGCACATGTGGTCACATAAGAGGCTTCAATGAATATTGTTTTGTACACATCAGGGAAGCCAAAATCTCTGGTATTAGTTCCCAAAGACCAAAGTGAGACTATTCAATACGGCCATATCATGAGGAATCTTTTTTTAAAAATCCTTTTGTGGTTTCCCAACCCATGGTCATTATAAACTATAGCATTAATTTTCTTATATGAAGACTAATCTTAGATATCAGGTATGGGGGTCCCAAAATATTAAGCAGACAAAGAAATTCAACATTGATAATAATAAGTGAGCAGCAATAATAATTGAAACTAATATAAATCAGCATTTGATATCTGAAGGATCACGTGACACTGAAGACTGGAGTAATGATGCTGAAAATTCAGCTTTGTCATCACAAGAAATTAGTTTGAAATTAAATGTAGGCTATTCATATGGAAAAGGTTATTTTTAATTGTAATAACATTAAATGCAGCCTTGGAGACTACATAAATACATAACAATTTGTACATACAAAAGGAAGCTCTTAAAGGCACAGTAGCAAATAATCAACAGATTAATTCAGAGAGACGATGATGATGTTTATCACAACAAAAATGTTAATAAGATTAGTGGAATTTAGGGAACATTTTAAATAATAATAACTGTGAGACTACATATTTTCAAAAGCAGTATCCTTGATCATGGATCTGCTATATCTCCTAAGAGAGCTCAACAGAGAGCTTGTGACACACTGACCTGGTTGTAGAGCTTGTCTCTGGCCAAATATGCATAGCCTGAAGAGACCCTGACATAGCGTGCATTTCTGTAATGCCACCGTAAGTATGAGACATGATCAATTTGATGACTTCAATTATAACAATAATTTGTTACATTTATATAGTGCTTTTCAGAGTACTCAAAGCGCTTTACATGGACGTGGGAATCTCTTCAACCACCACCATGTGAAACATCCACCTGGATGATGCGACGGCAGCCATATTGTGCTCGAACGCCCACCACACACCGCCTTAATAGTTGAGAGACAGTGATGAAGCCAATCAGTACATGGGGATGATTAGGAGGCCACGATGGACAGAGGACAATGGGCAAATTTGGCCAGGATGCCGGGGTTACACCCCATCCTGGGATTTTTAATGACCACAGAGAGCCAGGACCTCAGTTTAACGTCTCATCCGAAGGACGGATAAAAAGGCTAAACAATAGAGCTCTTATATTTGTTACATTATTTCCATCCATAAATGTGTCATGTACATGGTAATGGAAGGATACAAAGTTTGGAAATTTGGATATTATTTTGGTTTCTAACCAATTACATCTTACCACTTTCATGTTAACATTTTTATACTTTCAAAAGTTTGTATATTAACAAAAAATGAGGATACGGTGTGTATAAATATGCTGGGAATATGCACGCACTTTGATAGGCAAGTAAAAATTTAGACCAGCTGGATTCACTCAGGTGACCCCTATGAGCTAAGACTTTATGCGCAATTCACACATTTACACTGATATTGAAAAACACTTCTCACAGAGTCCCCGAGAGACTTTGCTTATGGAAAATTCATGTCCTTGATGTCTCAGCAACTAGAAAATGTTGATACACTCCCACTGAACGGGATGCAAGATGCTTCTTTACAACAGTCAAGCATGCTCTAGTTTGTCTGTCAAGTTCCTCTCACTCCTCCGCTGGGACAAGATTTGACAGCGCCTCAAAACATTGTGACTAGTGAGTGAGATTGTAGACACAAACATTCCGGATACGTTTTACAGAATGGCTGATTTGCCTCATATCATTCAGCAATCACTCGACCTCGATTCACTAGTCTTACATTAAATGTACTTTTATAGGGTTATTATTA